TGTGGAGGTGTTCACAATGCGAGCTCGGCTGTGTGTAGCAAGAGGCCGAGTATGGCTGTTCTCCGGCCGGTGAATGTTACAGAGCAAGCAAGAGCTCTTACCCAGACACCGGGAGCACAGCAAAACAGTCTGCCCCAAACAGTGCCAGTGAACCGGACGAATGCGTGGGTAAAGGAGTCACCTTTACTTAGGCAGGCTCCAGCAACAAGCAGCCACGCCACCACTCAGGACTCCGGCAGTGACAGTGTAACGGTGAGTGAAGTGGCTACTGTGGCTCAGAGAGAGGGTCATAATAATATGGTCAAGGAAGTGTGGGCTGAACTTAAAAAAGTTGGTGAGTTCCTCCAAAATCTGGGGCAGAGAATCGAGTCCATCGAGGCTAAATTAAACGTTCAGGAGGTCAAGGAAAATCACAAAACGGTGAAGGATAGTCAGGATATAGTGGTTGAGGACAAAAATGAAATATTGAGTGATGAAATGAAGGAAAGTGAAGTGTGTGTGAATGATGGTAGTCGTAGTGAAAGGAAGAACCCTATAATTACACATAAAATGAAGGAATCATTTGGGCCAATAATGGACATCTCAGGGCTGAAAAAATCTCTTGAGAATCGCAATGTCGCTTTTACTGGTGAACTTGGGAGGAGGTGGGAGATGTTATACAAGGTATGGCTATCATTTAGTGAACTTATTGGGGATGACTTAGGCAATGAATTGATTAATAATGGATCACCCTAGACTGAAAGTGTTGTCATGGAATGTTAATGGTTTGAGAAACAGGGTTACAGATGTTCATTGTTATGTGATGGGAAATGATATTGATGTTGTAGCTCTCCAAGAGACAGGGGATAGGAATGAAGGATTATTGAAATTAAATGGCTATAAAGGGTTTCACCTCTTCGCTGCAAATAACATCAGAGGCACGTCGATTTATGTTAAGAACTCCATACCAGCAGAGTTAGTAGAACCGCCATCAAAAACGCAAGGTATAGAGAGTGTCTGTGTTAAATTATCATTAAGGGAAGGGGAATTTATTGTAGTTAATTTGTATGTATCCAGGAACTGCTTCGACGCTAACTATTTACCTGACTGCATTTATACTAATCCTTCACTGGTCATTGGGGACCTTAATGCTCGGCACACAAGCCTTGGGACAGTGGGTAGTATTAATACTAATGGGGTCAAGTGGTTACAGTTTCTACAAGATCATCCAGATACCTGTCTATTGGGAAACAATGAACCAACTCACATCAGGGGAGGACGGCTTGACTATGCCTGCGTTTTAAACTCTCAGGGGATTATGGGGGAGGCTCGGGTTGTTCGGGAACTACTTAGTGACCACTTTGCCTTGAACGTTGAATTACCACTGGGGAAAAAACAAGTCCACTTTCAAAGGAAAAGGCTAAATATTAAGAAAGATATGAAAAATTATTTTATTCAAAATATGGGAGATTGGTATCAACATTACACGCCGCTCTGCGTTGATAGTTTTTACGAGGACATGGTCGAGAACATAGAGAAATTAGTACAGAGGGAAAATAACGGGGGCAGGGGAAGCAAGACGCACGGACCTAAGAAATTTAAATATTCCAATGATCAGCAAGTCAAGGGATGGGAGAGAATGCTACGGGGTGCGCATAAAGCATGGTTAAAAAATGGAATGAGGGATGAAGAGAAAAATACAATGTTGGAAGTGGCTAGGGAATGCAGTCAGGTGAGGAAGGAGGCGCGGGACAGATACTGGCAAGACTTTGCTCAGGCCATTGGTAATACTAAGAACCTTAAAGACATATGGAGAGCAGTAAATAAAGTCAGGGGTTGTAAGACTAAATTCATTGCTCACTCAGATCCAGGGAAAGTTGCTAATGAGTTAGTAGATAAATGGGCAAGTGCTGCTGGTATGGAGTCCTTACCTGCAGACACGAGAGTCACCATTGAGTCATGGGAAAATATTAGAAATGGAGTAACTTTATGTGCCTTAAATACAAGATCTATAGCATGCACTGAGATAACCCACGATGAGCTACTGGATGCTATAAAAAGTGGCAGCTCCACTGCTCCGGGAAAAGATGGAGTAACGTATGACATACTTAATTATTTAGCCGGTATGAAACCTAATCCCTTACTTGATTTGTTTAATATGAGTTATAGAGAGGGAAAGTTACCAAGAAAATGGAAAGAGGCTGTCATCATTCCTATCCCTAAGTCAAACGGAGGCTACAGACCTGTCTCCTTAATATCCTGCTTTTGTAAAATGATGGAAAGGATTTTGTTAAATAGGCTACTCTACCTTGTAGGTGATAACATGTCCAATAATCTCTTTGGTTTTATCAAAGGCAAAAGTACTGCGGATTGTCTCTTAAAGTGTTTGTCTAATGTGGATGACAATTGTAGAGTTTTTGTTGATCTACAAGGAGCGTTTGATAAAGCCAATGGGGAAGTAATCTTATACGAATTAGCCAATCTGGGAATAACAGGGAGATTGCTACACTGGATAAGGGATTACCTGCAAGGCAGAAAAGGTCAGGTGTATTACCAGGGATACATGTCTGAGGAACGGAGGTTTCAGTTAGGTACCCCACAAGGGGGAGTATTAAGTCCCACCTTATTCAATGTATTAATGAACAGATTAGCATCAGAGATGTATCCTCCAGGGGTCACGACGATCATATATGCTGATGACATTCTTATACAAGGCACTTCTGGGAACAAAATTCAAGATGCTCTTAACATACTTGGTACAACCTGTCACAAGTTAGGCTTAGTTATAAATGCAGATAAAACCAAATACGAGTATAGGAAACGAAGAAATATAACACTTACTCTAAATGGTGTGGAACTGAGCCGTGTACAGAAGTACAAGTATCTGGGCATGTATGTTGGATACACATGTGAGAGTAAAAATGCTGAAATAAATCATATCAGCACCTTATGTAAAGCCCGTCTGCATCCTCTAAAAGCACTGGCTTTTTCTGGTAAAGGTGTTGGGGTACCTATCTTGCGGATGTTATACATAAGCACTGTTCGATCCCTGATAGACTACGCAGCACCCGTATTGTCTTACACAGGCCAAGGCAGAATTCAAAAAATAGAGCTGATACAGAACGAGGCTATGAGGATTATTCTTGGATGTCAAAGAAATGCAATGATTGAAATAATGAGAATGGAATTAAATTTACAGAGTGTGTGTGATAGAGTCCGTGACATTAACACTAGAGTATCTATTCGTTTCATGCGGAGAAAAGGAGGGGATAAGCTGTTTGAGAGCGTTCAGACCTGCTTGAGTGACGTACACACTTCCAGGAAACTGAGGGAGACTCGCTATACGAGAGGATTAGCTCATGACCTCAGGGAATACGACGTACTTGACTGCTGTAAACCCTCTCGAAAGTGTAATATGTCTGCTCCCTGGAAAGTACAGAAAATAGACGTCGAAATTGTACCCCTCAAGGTGAAAAAGATTCATCATGAACCGGGACAATTACGGTGTTTGTATGGAAGCATGATATCTCGGTTACCAAGAGGCAACAGTTTACATGTATATTGCGACGGGTCGGTGGCGGAGGATGGCAGGGCAGGGTGTGGTGTCCTAATAAGGGATTATACGGAGTTTGGGACTGTGGACAGGATAATTGAACTCCGGCTTAGTAATTATATATCATCCACACAAGCTGAACTGCAGGCCATTCTGGCGTGTTTGGAGGAAGTACGTCATGACGACAAAAATGTTTTTGTATTTGTCGATAGCCGAGGAGCACTGGAGTCCTTAAACAGTAGAAACCCAGTCTTCATGTCTATAGTGGAGGACTGTAAGAGAAGAATAACTGAGATACAGCTGAAAGGTTATAGTGTGAAATTCATGTGGATTCCATCTCATGTTGGAATAGTGCTCAACGAGGTGGCGGATGACTTGGCCAAACGTGCCACATCAAAACCACAAGTTGACATTGAATGTGAATTCACAATGAGACAAATAAGAAGCAAAATCAGAAATATTCAGGCACAGGCGGGAGTGGAGAGGAGAGAGATAATGTATGAGAGTAGTCAAACCATGCAACACTACATGTATGTGAGTCAAAACACCCATTTCACTTATGGTAAAAGGAGAAATGCTTGGAGTGACTCTGTGTACATGCGGCTCAGGCTTGGGTACAAATATTACTGGGAATATGGGATAGATGTTCATGGTAATGACACGAAGTGTAAACTATGTGGTATGTTAAGGTCTCACACCCTTGCCCATTATATTCTTGATTGTCCGTTGATTAGTGTATATAGAAACACTGAGATAAGGACTGTTCCTGAACAAATAGCCTGGATGTGTCACAACGGAAAGGTTGATGATATTCTTGAGAGATATAAGAATTTTGCACCAAGATTGTAATATTTTGTTGAATTATCTGCAGGTGTCTTGCAAATTGTCTATACAGTATACCTAGGTCATAAAAGTATTTGTGTGTACGTCTGATACCATACTCCTTGTGAGGGAGGAAATGTATATTTTTACCTCTCAGAATGTTTGGTAATATGTTTATTTGTGATGTGTGTATATGTATATATTAACACGTTGTACTGAACGGGGTGAGAATAGCTTGAGCTACCTCATCCCTTTGTGTGTATTTTACCTCAATAAACTTATTTCAATTTCAATTTCAATATGAGATTTCAGTTAGGTAAGCACACAACTTGAGGCAACAACAACACGCTTCTTGTGTGTGACTTTGAGAGTGGTTTTGTCAACAACACCATGGTAGAGTGACGACAGCAACACGTGACAGTGTGTGTCAGACCATGTGACCATTGTCTCCATGGTACCAACCTGTAAACATTCATTTGATAAAACTTAAATATTACACACACAAGAAAAGAGAAAGTAAACCTGTACCGCAGTATGCATGGTGCATTATGCAATGCTGAGGTAAATACACTGAATTTAGTCAGTCATAATACAATTGTAGATTTAATTGAGTTTACCTTGTAAACTCAGGTTTACCTTTTATCAGGTGAAGGACCTTGAACATAATGCTTGTAACCAGAGTGTGAGGGGCATGAATTCTCCACTAGTAAGGGCGCTCCACTGGTCAAAGGGTGACCTCGATAACCCTAAGTACAGCCTTCCTGTCCCCGAGAAGGGAAACTAAAAAATGGGACTGAGGTAAGGGGGGGGGGGTGAGGGGGGGGAGGGGAAGGTTGTCTTTTCAACCTTCGAAACCTTCTTCAAAAGAAGAAGGTTGTCTTCGTCTTTTGACATCTGATAAAGAAGCAACGGAAGACATTGTGGGAAGTTGGCCTCGCATCCCATTATATTTTAGCTCGTTGATTACCCGTTAACTTTTTCGATAGCTCTTCTACTCTTGCAGCCTTATCTGGTCATAGCCTGGTCTGTGAGGCTGTTTGTATTTGTAGGCCGAAGACTCGCATAGGTATCATGGCGAGGCTGATATGGAAACTCCAGCAGAAACTCAACCAGTTCTCTCTTGAAAGCTTCGACTATTTTACCAGCTACATTTCTTAAATTATGTTGGCAGGAGATGGAAGAGTCGTGGGCCTCTGGCATTTACAGTGTGTTCTCAAATGATGTTTATTGCACTCCGATTTTTATTAGTTTTAATTTGCACTTCCTACGATATCTTTCATTTCAGTAAAATAATAATAATTAGCATTATTATTTCATTCGTAAGAATGTGCATGCAAAGAACATAAGACAAAGGTATAACCACAGGTACAGGGGATGTTCTTTCATACTGAATAGTTCCCTATCTAATTAGATTTCGTTTTTGCTAAGTTGACTAAATTTTTAAACTGAGTATTTTGTGTCCTAAACCGAGCACAAAATACTCTGTCATTGGCAGGATACTAAATGTGACGTTTCTTGCAGAAGTGTGCGTGGGAAACCAGGTGCTCGGGGCGCCGAGTGTGGCTGACGGCGGTGAGTTCTTCAGCACCAACACTCTGGCCGAGGTGAACCACCCCTCACCCCTCGACTACGAGTCTCTGCTTGAGCGAATCCATGGCAACTTTGGGGCACGGTCAGAAGTGACGGAAGGAGAGCAGCAGGAACCGGAATATGAAGGATCGGAGACATTGGTGGTGCCTCTCTACATCCCTGAGGGGGCTGTGCCCATTAACATGGCACGTATCGCCCGTTCTGGCATTCCAGAGCCCATGGTGGAACTGTTGAATATGAAGGTATCACCAGCTGCCGACTCTGTTCTCATCCGGCGTATAGGACCTGTAGGCAGCCAGGGAACACCAGCACCCCCTACTAGACGCAATGGCTGGCGACCACCACAGAGGACTAGGCTCACCAGACTAACCCCGATCCGCAGGTCAGATCAACTGGGTGATCATCCTGTGGTTCGGCCCCCACCTCCGCCATTTCTACTGGCTGAATTTGGCCAGCGGCTGCCGGGACCCCATGCCGCTCCTTTAGTGGCAGTGAGGCGGGTGCCACTCACAAAGTCCCTTCCATACGATGACGACGATCTGGACGACACGAATATCAAGCGAGCCAAGAAGAATGAGTTCAGCAAAGACACTCAGTTCCCAGAAGGGTTTCACACAACTGATGTTCCAGAAAATGAAGGGCATGACACGTCCTCAGAACTAGAAACCTTGGCACCCACCACCCAGAGACCTGTTACAACTACCCAAAGTGGTGAGAAGCACCTCAGTGTTGGCAAATTATTTCAATCTCCGCTACCGCCCACGGCAGTGCTTGTTACTGCCACGACTGCATCGATGCTGTCTACTACAACACCCCATACTACAATAATACCAACTTCCACATTTGAATTAACCACTACAAGAGGGTCACCTACAACAGCCACTACAATGTCACCAACCACAGTAGCATCAGCAGTTACAACATCCACCACCACAGAAGCCATAATGACGACAGTCAGGCCCACCACACAAAAAGCAACAAAGAAAATGTCTCTTGATGTGGACGACACATCCTCCAGCTTAACCAGCTCTCCTCCCACCACCAAGTGGGACCGTCGCTCAGTTCTCTTCCCACGGCCAGTGGAATCCATTCTCAAGAACAAAATTATAAGTTCAACAACCACAACTACACAACCCTCTACGACCACTACTGCAACAACCAGGAGTCCTGTTACCCAAAGGAATCCTCCTCTGTGGCATACCAGGTTAAAATCACCAATAACCAGGATACCAACATCTACAGAATCTCCAGCAACCTTAACTACATCATCAACTACAGTGAGAACTCTAGCAGTAGAGAAGTTTGCATTGTTTAGCAGGCTGCACAGTACAACAACCAAAAGGCCCTTAAACCCAACCACAGAAGAACTAAAACACACTACCTCTGAAAAGCCAACGAATTCAATGGAAGCTACATCTTCAGTGTCTACAACAACAGGAAGACCACTTCGAGCAACATTGAAACCAGCTATACCCACAATGAACCAAACAACAGCAACAAACACTTTGTCCACAACAACAACAACAACACCAACACCACTTTTTACCTTCCATAGACCAGTTGTAGTTGTTGGCCCTGAGAGGTCCACACCAATGAGGGTGATGCCTAGTGTCAGTAATGTCAGCACGACTATTAAGACTCCTGAGGAACGTGAAAATTCTGAGTACGAAGAAAATGAAGAAACTTCGATGGAAAATCCATCACAGAGCCCTTTTACAACAAATTCTCCGAACGCTGAAGAGGTACCAAAGAATGTGGTATCAGAATCTAGTTCTGTATTGGAGATGGACAAAGATTCGACAAATAGAACTGAGGAAGGAGAAAGAAGTCTACCAGTCACTCGTCTCTTGGCATCTGGTAGAGAAGAGGCAACGGAAGAATCTACCACGAAGGGGGCTGAACAGAAGCATAATGTTACAGGATCAAGAAAATACGCCAGAACTTTTCGGCCTGTCATAAGGCCTGGAGGCAGGCGACGAAGACCATTATGGCAAAGGTCTACAGTTCCTCCACCGATAACCTATGCTAAGGATTTCTTCATAGCACCGGAAGAAACACTTACTTTCAGTTCAGAGACAGAAGGGCAAAAGATTACAGTAACAACCACCTCGCCATCTGTACCAGACATAGTAGTATCAACAACATTACCCACAACAACTTTGACTACTGATAAATCTCCAGAACAAATTGTGATTGAGAGCTTGACAGAGATTATGAAGGATGCCACTAATAATAACAAGAGCAAGGATAAGGTTTTGAGCATCGCTACCAACCTAGAACTGCTCAACAAACAACTAGCGGAGCGAGGTATCCATATCATCCATGCCGAGGTGGATGGAGTGAAGATTAAACTTGACAATCGCACAGTAACTCGACCCATACTTCAGCCAGTTGCAACAACATTCCGTCCATCAACATTCTTTAATGTGTCATCTTTTACGGACTTCACTACAGAAAGACCCTTAGTGAGTACCGCATCCCCTGTGAAAGAAAAAGAAATGCACATGGTTGAAGATTACTTGCTCGACGAAAAAGCAGAGAAACAAATGTTCACATCAGTCAAATCTTCCTTTTCATTTCACACAACAAAGCCAATTGAAGATGAGGTGACAGACAATGAAAATGAAGTGCAAAGTACCACCAACGACTCGAGCTTTACCACCACGAAGCCGGTTGACACCAGAAAGTTCACAGCCAGCCCTGGTCGAGGGGAATCGCAAAAGCCAGCTCTCTCCTCTTCAATCCTACCTTTTGCGGAGGAAACAGAAGCTGACAAAGTAGGAAATGTGACGGGACTAGATGGCTCCTCCAAAACTCCAGTTGTTGAGGAGACGTCCTCTCCCGTACGAACTAGCATTTCCCGAGGTGACCGTGATAAAGAAGTTGAGTTAGAAGATGGAGTAACGTCAAAGGCAATCTTTGCAACCTCGACCGTACCTTCCAGTGTCACAACTCGCACAAGGTCCACCACAGTCCCTATCACCACACACAGACCTGCTACGAGACCATTTGTGCACACCCCAAGAGGCAGGTTAAGACCTGTGGGTTTTAATAGGGAGGAGACTGTTACCCACATCAGATCAGAAATTGATGGTAGTGATTTTATAACAAAACCATCCTTTGAAAATTCTACAAGTAGAAATGATTCTATATTGCCCAAGGATCTACATACTGCTACAACTATACACCCGACCTCACATCACCGGCCTTCACTTTTGCCGCCACCCCCCAAGCAAGAGTCCGTCAGAATTTTTGGCAGTGATGCAAGCATTTCTGGAGTTACCCAAGACACAACCTCTACTAAAAGCACAGATGTGGACTCTGCCTCCACCGCAAAGACGACCACGACGACAAAGACAAAGATTGAGGTCATCCCCTTTGTCCCCGAGTTCACTGATGCCTCAGAAAACATGAAGAGTGAAGACTTGCCGGAGCCTTCGTCATCATCATACACTGCTGTTTACATTATAGGTGTTATAGGAATAATCCCGGCTGCTGCCCTCACTGCTTTCCTAGCCAAGAAATTTCTGAAGAAGACACAAAAGGCTTTACCTGAGAGTGAGGAGCGAGGTGAAGGCTTCACACCTATTACTCATCACTCCAGGAAGCCTTCCCACTCTACCACCTTGGTGAGTACACCTATACATCTCAGGTACAAACTTTTATAGCCCCAGTGGTATTGGCACCCATGATATTTAAATTAACTAGCATTGATAATAGCTTGTTCCGAATTTCCAAGTTTTCTTTTTATAATGACTCTAAGTTGCATTGCAACTTACAAATATTTAATTAATTCAATATTTGATAACATTATATCCTCTATGTCATCAGGAGGCTGATGGATCATCAGTGGAGGCCAAGAACCCACATGCCAAGTACACACCATGGGAATTTCCCAGGTCTAAGTTGCGTTTGGTGTCCGTCCTTGGCGAGGGAAACTTTGGAGTGGTGAGTGTAGGAGTACCATACTGGAGTCTAGTCTTTTAGTTAAACTGTACATAGAACCAGAACTTTCTGTTCTAGTAAATAGCACCTTGCTCACTCTCATTTTTTACTGGTGATTTTTTTGTTGTGAACATCATGCTGGATCAAAACTGTTATTTCATTCAAAGATAATCTTGGAGCTCATGCTGGTAAGTATTTTGTGTGAAGTACTTTATAGATATATTTCCACCTTCATCAGCAAGCAAGCTTAAAACATAATTTGATAACAGAAATACAGATTATTTCATGTGCCCTATTCCAGTATTGATTTCATCAATTTACATTTTCTTAAACTTTTATATTATTACTGAAGCTCATTTTAGAAGCATTTTGATATTTCTTTCAAGTTGACCTCCACTTGTGTTTATTTTACTTTTGAGTGTCAGTGAGATGCTGTATGTCCCATTTGTGTGAGACAAGTTAACTGACACCTCAATGACAGTTGTATTAGTATCCTGATTTGCTTGTTGCTTGTGCAGGTCTGGAAGGCGGAGGCCCGAGAGCTGTGTGCTTGTGAAGGTGCCCCTGGAGGCCCGACGGTACTGGTGGCAGTGAAGTGTGTGAAGGAAGGTGCTGGGGTGAAGGAACGACACGACTTGCTCAAGGAGCTTGCCATTATGCAGCACTTAGGACAGCACCATAATGTAGTCACTCTCCTTGGCTGCTGTACACAACAGGGTGAGACCTTGTTCTTGTTTGTTTTGTATGAGTTACTAACAGTGTTAGCAGCTGTATAATATTTTATCTTGATATTCATTGCCTGGTTTTGTTTATAAGCATTAGAAACAATCCTCAATTTATTGGATGCTCTATATTCCATTGGAAACTTGCAAAACATGATGTTAGCCATCAAAAGAGCCATGTTCTGGATTAAACATCACACCAACAGAATCTGTCATTTCTTGAGTGCATCTTGAAGCTTATGCACCTCTCAGTATTTAATATAACCTTGTTTTAATGTAAATGTTGATATCGGTACTGTATATGTATTTTATCCGACATGTTTAGAACCAAATACCTATCAAGGATATTTTAAGATATACAGTACCAGTACATTTTAATTATAATATTGGACTGTTAAATGTACAGTATATGCATAACAAGTAAAGAATTTTGTTGTTGATAACAAAACTGTGAGTCTTGTACTCATCACTTACCTTTTGAGTTGTGTGGGGTATGAGACAGAGCCTCACTACGTGATCATGGAGTATGTGATGTTTGGGAAGCTACTAACGTTCCTACGCGACCATCGCACACGCCACAACTACTACAACTTCTCCTCGGACACTGAAGCTCTTACCTCCAGAGACCTGACCCGCTTTGCTTGTCAAGTGGCCACAGGATGCGACTACTTGCAGTCCCGTGGGGTGAGCACTCCTTCTCTGATAGAGTTCTTGCTATTTTCTCTGCATTGTGGTATTTAATCTGTGGAGCCAAATCATTGGTATGACCTGAGCACAAAATGCATCCTCATTTTTTTCTTATATTCTACGTACTTCCTATTATTCTGTTTACTTCATGACTGTACAGTACTACTGTTTTCAGCATGATTTTCATTTTTTTTTTTTTGTCAAACTGGTATTCATATACTGAACTGTATATTTATTTACCAATATTTGGTAGACCTCCATTTGAAATGGGTAGCCTAAATATGATGTACAGTATACTAATAATAAATCAAGATATATTCTATACTGTATTTAATACTGTACTCAGATTTTATATTCAAGCCTCCTAGTGAAATACTTTTTAAATTGAAAGTAATAATCACATTCTCACAGATCATTCACCGTGACCTGGCATCTCGCAACATCTTGGTAGACCACAACAAGGTCTGCAAAATTGCTGACTTTGGTCTGGCCCGCAATGTGAAGGATTTGGGCACTGACATTTATGAGCAGAAGAGTCGGGTCAGTCACTAGCAAGATTTTTCTGCCTTTGCAGATTCATTGTTTGTCTGGATTTTGTTTAGTATTTTCAAGGATCATTAATACATGAAGGTTGATTGTATTTAGTGACTTTTAACTTCATTATTCCTGAGTTTACCTAAGGAATTATCATTTCATTCTTTTCCTTTCAAGGGTTTTACAACTAATTATAATTGTTTTATTTCAATTGATAAGCAGTTGCTGATTTTATTAGAAAAAACAGAACAAAAGTATGAAACTTTTTTGTAATAAAAAAACAAGAAATTTTATATACATTGTTATCTTTGTTTTCAATTTGACTTTGCTTCAAACATACATTTGTCCTTGCAGGGAGCCCTGCCAATCAGATGGATGGCACCAGAGTCTCTCTACATGAGCATTTTTACCCACAAGTCAGATGTGTGGAGCTTTGGTATACTCTGTTGGGAAATTGTCACTCTGGGTAAGGCCTTCGATCTTTTTCCTCACACAGAAATGATTAGACTATTTACTCTTGCTACATTTTAGCTTTTCTTCAGGCCTTAAGAGTTTAAGAAAAGGTCTTGTATTTTTCAAAATTTAGGAGAAATTTCCAGTTCTTTGGTCATACATATGGAGTTCATGCAGGTCATATTGCAAAGTTGAAATAAAATTTTAATGGCTTCTCTTAAGGTAGACTTCTGTATACTATGAAAATATAATTATATATTACAAACCATATAATAAGATTTGTTGATTACAAACATGGTTTCTCCTAAATTAAATCAGTGTGCACTGTAGAAAGCACAGCCAGCATTCCAACTTCTTCAAGGATGCTCAGTACAGTTAAGTAAAATGTTTTATGGGATGCCTCAGTCACAGGCAAAGTAATAAAGAGGAATGACAAGTTAATGACAAGAATGGCAGGTATTTTAGTTTAAACTATAAAGAAGTTTATTTTATAGCTTGTTTTCTCAAATCTCCTCTCCAGAAAATCTCTACTCCAAAAAGAAAGTACAGGGTACATGCCTTTGGCATTGCATATCTTATGACTTTTACCCTCATTTCACATCCTGAAAGATATTATGACACTTTCAATTATTCTGGGACATAGATGTTGCTAGAAAGCCTTCAGGGCTTGTCACTTTATTTTGATACAGTAATTACTGTACATACTTGTTTATGAGATTCCCCTTTAGTTTTTAAATAATTCATCTCCCACTAAGATAGTGTTGTATTATCATTATCGAGTTTTTCTGTAGGGTGGAAGACCTACTCCTCAAGGTGTTGGTGAAATGCCTCGAGGTTCAAAACTTGCCCAAGAACCTTATTATAACTCCTAATTTGACACAATACCTGCAGTCTTCCAGTGTTTCAAGCGCATAAAAGTACTCGTTGTATGTCTCCCAGATGTATATTTTCACAATTTTACAGACTGTTTCATACAGACTTCAAGATTAAAATATAATTAAACTGCTCTGCTCCTCCCAGGTTCAACGCCATACCCTGGAATGACAGCACGGGAAGTGATGCGGAGTGTTCGCGAGGGTTACCGCTTGGACCGGCCAGATCACTGTCACCCAGAGCTTTACCGCATCGTCACCAAGTGCTGGCACCAGGATCTCAACAAAAGACCATCTTTCTCAGAGATTACTGTAGATTTAGCTCAGCTCTTGGAACATGGACAGACGGGTTACATTGACCTGGAGAACTTCCCTGAGGGCAGTTACTACTCCATGCATGAGAACAATGATGAGAAGTTGTGACTATTTAATGATAAACTGGGATGATTTAATGACCACCAGTGATATTATTCCTGAACTAATTATGTATTTTTTTCATTAGAAGCAGTATGGTGTTATTCACCTTTGAACTTTAATTTAAAAGACCCTGTTTCTTTAAATGAACAAATCCTGTTTTTGTTCTAAATAATACTGTATTTTAACAAAGGATATTTGACGATAAAGGTAAGTGTTGTGATGGTGCTTGGGAAGCTTCCATCTGTGTGTTCATTTTACCTTGGTTGCCACTGTGTGTATCCAAAGCAATAGTATCTGTGTCTAGGTGCGACAAGCAGGCCTTGTTCGTATTTTCATCTTCATCTTATTTTTAGGATAAACTTTTACAATCATTATCTCTATTATTATTAACATATCATAAATACAACAAGATAAAAACAATTACCTACTGTATTATCAGTTCTGAAATGAAGCTGATAAATATTCTTAATTTTTTCATATATATATATACAGTATATATATATAAAATAATATGACAGTGTCAGACCACGAAGGAAGGATTAAGACAGGAAATTCCTTAAGTACTGTGTACTTTTGTATTCAATAATACAATTTCGGAAGAATGGAATTAGAATTCAGTGGTGATAGATATATAGGAAGGAATGAGATGAGGTGGGGGTGAAAAACAATGTCTTTGTTCACAAACATAAGAGGGAACTGCAGAAGGCATTGATTCTGCAGACACAAATAGTAAATACAAATATTAAATACGCACACACACATTAAGGGGTGAGAAGTTGGACTGGCAAACGGTAACGAGTGGAGTACCTGAAGGATCAGTGCTGGGACCAATTCTATTTCTAATACTGTACAGTATACGTAAATGACATGTCTACTGGAATCAAGTCCTATATGTCGATGTTCACAGATGACGTGAAATTAATGAGACGAATTGTAACAGATGAGGATTGTAGGATCCTCCAAGAGAATTTGAACAGCTTGCAGAGATGATCAGAGAAATGGCTATTGGCATTCAACATGAGCAAGTAAAAAGTGTTGGAAATGGGACTAGGTGACAGGAAACCAAAGGGACAGTACATAATGAAAAGAAACTACCTACCTGTGACAGTTGAGGAAAGAGACCTGGGAGAGGACTTAATACCAAATCTAACTCCTGAGGCACATATAAATCGGATAATGACAGCAGCGTACTCTACACTAGCAAAAGTTAGAATGTCATTCAGAAACCTAAGTAAGGAGGCATTTAGAGTGCTTTACACTGCACAAATGAGACCAGTCTGGAGTATGCCACCCCACCTGATGAAACACATTCAGAACGACATGGTCAAAAGGATTGTAACCTGGATTTCCACTGAGCTCACAAGGGTTTTCTGAGGCTTCCACTGAAGCCGGACCACGATTTTCACACAAAATCTATATATAAATAACATCCATATAAAAATAACATGCATATCCTTTTGACCACGTTGTGGCCTAGTTGACTAGGGCATGTGCATGGTGACACCCACCACATAGGTTCAAGCCCTCATCACAGCTCCTTCGGATTTTCTCACTAAAGTATATTTGCTAGTTTGTTAGTAAACTATTGTGGTGGTCTTATTGTAACTCAGGAGGTTGATAGGCCTTAAGCCCAACATCAGTCAATGAATATATTTTGTCATTCACTGTCTGCTTCAACAACTGGTGCAAAATGTTTTATCTTGTTGTATTACAAATATGATGTGTTCCATTCCTCTTCCCCCACAAGCCCTTGTTTTATTGACAAAACATTTACCTCCTGTCCTATAGTTATAATAAAATTCAGATTAAATTTAATTAAGCTTAACCAAAGATGGCAAACACAGTTTTGACTTTTGAGTTTAAAAATTCCAGCTCCTGGACCCAGTATGTGCCTATAATATTTCCACTGCCTTGCACAGGGTGGGTTTGGGATGCATAATAACAAGCTTCACTCAACTTCTTATTGGCTTCTTACCAAAATTTTTGGTATATTTTAGTCTGAATTACAATACAGCATCTTCAAATATTTATATTCTATTGTAATGTCAGGGCATGAGGAACTGCATTATGTGAAGCAGTTTAAAACTTGTTGCATAAATACTTAACATAAACTAAAATGTATTTAAAAATATTTAAAAAATTCACATGAAACATTTGTTTAAAGTTCTTATATCTCTTATTCCTGGTATATTCACTACTTCAGATGTGTATAGAATTATTATTATATTTTTTATGTCATGAGAATAGAAATGACCAGCTTAATATAATCAGGAGAATAGTAACATTTATAGTATTAGTATGTATACCAGTCTGGTGTTTGCACCATGTGATCCATTCCTGTAACAAGTGATCTTTCCCTGCAATACATGTGATCAGTATCCTGCTACATGTACATGTAATCCGTCCCAACAACAGATTTGATCCGTCCCTGCATCTCAAGTATTGGAGATAAGTATTGTATTATGTAAATATGTTGTATATATTGTTGAAAATGTTTCATATATACTGTATTGGCAAGGATAATTGCCGGTTGTTGTCTGAGTAGCGATATTAATATTTAACACCCTTACAGCATCTCTGAACACTCTTGATGACATTTATATTTTCTCTTCATAGTTAAATACACATGGTGATGAAAAAAAAATACATATTTAAGAATTAAGAACATATAAATAAAACTATAGAAGGGCTATTGGCCCAATTGAGGATGCTCATACAGTATCTATATCCACCCAAAGTCATTCCCATATGTATATATATAATAATTTATTTATTTTCTCTTAACTATGTTTCAAACAATCCATCGATCCCAGATCTATTATGTTATCTGGTAATTTGCTCTATAGATTGACAACCTTGTTTCTGAACTAGTATTTACACATGAATACAAAATACTTGAACCCAGCTATGGAAAGATATGAAAATCCAGATTAATTTTCTGTTGGATTTTGAAGTTGTATGCTTCATACACTATACAAGTGCTGCTGAAAAAATAAAATACACAGTGTGTGTGTGTATATACAGTATAATATATATATACAGTATAAATATATATATATATATATATATATACATATGTTGTTGAATATGACAAAGGGTAAGATTAATAATTCTAACACAATTCTTCTCAATATATCTTACGTTCTTCTTCACTGTCGAAGGTAATTGATAAAGTAACTCTCCAAAATTCATTTTTTTTTTATTCCTGGTCTGATGCCTGAACGTGTTTCCTAATTCCTTATTACATTTTTAAAGACTTAGTTTACACACAAAATACATTCATACTTATACTCGTTTTGGGTGAGGTGAAACAGAAGACAGAACACGAAACAATGGGTATGAGAACATAAGACTGGAAGTAACTGCAGAAGGCTTATTGGCCCATACTTCCTCTTGCTGCTTCCCTATTGGTTTGGGGTCTTGAAGTGGGTAGAATATAGTTGTGCATTAATTGGCTGTTGATTGCTGGTGTTGACTTAGTGATGTGTAGTGCCTCGCTGATGTCGAGTCTCCTGCTATTGCTGTATTTATCGATGATTTCTGTTTTGCTTGTTAAGGTTTCTCTGGTGATGGTCTGGTTGTGAGAAGAGATTATATGTTCTTTGATGGAGCCCTGTTGTTTGTGCATAGTTAATCGCCTAGAAAGAGACATTGTTGTCTTGTCTATATACTGAGTTCTTTGGGGCTTACACTCCCCAAGTGGGCATGTGAAGGCATAGACGACGTTGGTTTCCTTCAAGGCGTTCTGCTCGGTGTCTGGGGAGTTTTTCATGAGTAAGTTGGCCATTTTTTTTGTTTTTGTAGTAAATTGTCAATTGTATTTTATGATTTTTGTCTGCAGGGATAACGTTTCTGTCAATAATGTCTTTCAGGACCCTTTCCTCAGTTTTATGAGCTGTCGAAAAGAAGTTCCAGTAAAACAGTCTAATAGGGGGTATAAGTGTTGTGTTAATTGACTCTTCGGAGGTTGCATGGCGTTTCACCTTTCTTTTTATGACGTCATAAAAATGAAATCACAGAAATTATCAATAAATACAGCGATAGCAGGAGACTCGACATCAGCGAGGCACTACACATCAAAAAGTCAACACCAGCCATTTAATGCACAACTATATTCTACCCACTTCAAGACCCCGAACCAATAGGGAAGCAACAAGAGGAAGAATGGGCCAATAGGCCTTCTGCAGTTACTTCCATTCTTATGTTCTCATACCCATTGTTTCGTGTTCTGTCTTCTGTTTCACCTCACCCAAAACGAGTTGTATTCTTGGTGGCTCGAATACTTTTGATATCGTTTGCCCTATGCGTTTCTGTTCTCGTATTGGCATCCTTGGTGATATTTAGCGCCCTCTGATTATCCCGCACATTTGATGGTGCTACATAGCCTTCCCGGTTTGGTGCCTTCTTTTGATAATTGCTTACTACTTACTTCTGTTTCACCTCACCCAAAACATTTGTGCCATATCACCTCGCCCAAAACGAGTATAAGTATGAATGTATATTGTGTGTAAACTAAGTCTTTGAAAATGTAATAAGGAATTATGAAACGCATTCAGGTGTCAGACCAGGAATAAAAAGAATGAATTTTGGAGAGTTACTTTATCAATTACCCTCGACAGTGAAGAAGAACGTAAGAAATACTGTATTGAGAAGATTCGTGTAAGAATTATTAATCTTACCCTTTCGGTCATAGTCAACAACATATGTTTACAAGAAAGACTGCTACTAATATATAAATATATATATTATTTTTACTGGAATATACATTAATTTGAGATTACTTCGAATTCCAGCTACTTAAATTCATGGCAGGTCAACCTTTTTTGCATATTATCGTGATATTTGGTCTATTACAGACTATGTATGGCAAATACTTAGTTCTTGCATTATTGCATACAATTCTAGATACCATGGAAATTAATTTGTTGAATAATTGCTGTTTTTGAATACTGTATTGCCATTGGTTGTACTCAGAACATTAACTTGGGAATATTTTAAATTAATGGTGGTAATTATCCAGATTTGTCCATAAAGTTATGTTTATCTGTTTTGATTACCTAAATAACTAATGTTAATTCATTTTAAAAGTGTTCAGGAGATTAATCAGAACTCTATTTCATAACGACTGTTTTCATTACATTTCCCAGATTGGGTGCTCAAATTTGCAGCTACTTTCAGAGAAGACAAAATATTATTCCTTAAGGTAGCATGATATACAGTATAGTCATGTACTGTATGTGAATATGAAGGTAATGACAACATATACACTATGTATAAAGTTGAATAAGTATTGAACATAACGAAGGTCTTTGGGCTCGCCTTAACCCGTGCTACTTGGAACTTTTTATTCCAGGTAGCGAATCTTAAACAACAACAACAACAACACGAAGGTAGGCAGTTCTATTACTCAAAAGTAATTACTTAAGTAATTTATTTTGCACTTCATATACTTGGCTTAATAATTTAACTGTTAAATAGTTATGATTGCATTGAGAAACTTCTCTGAAAAGTTCTGTAAAGAAAATCTTAAGAAATGACATTGTCATATGTAAATAAAGTTATCTTTAGCTATTATGTACAGAGTATTTTTTATATATTGTATTTGAATATTTAAATAAATAGTTATCCACTTTGTATTATTTTAAATACTGTACCACTATTTTTTTCACCAGCGGCAGAATCTTCTTTGAGAAATATTTCATATTTTTATACTTTGCACACTTCATTGAACTACAGTGTTCACATGTAGTTCATCCCTTGATAGGAAGGTGGTGGGAACCTCCAGGTGGTGTAGGTTGTAGTGTTACTGTGGGTGGTGTAGATTGTAGTATTACTGTGGGTGGTGTAGACTCTAGTATTACTATGGGTGTAGACTGTAGCATTACTGTGGGTGGTGTAGACTCTAGTATTACTATGGGTGTAGACTAGCATTACTGTGGGTGGTGTAGGATGTAGTGTTACTGTGGGTGGTGTAGGATGTAGTGTTACTGTGGGTGGTGTAGGATGTAGTGTTACTGTGGGTGGTGTAGGTTGTAGTGTTACTGTGGGTGGTGTAGGATGTAGTATTACTGTGGGTGGTGTAGGATGTAGTATTACTGTAGGTGGTGTAGGATGTAGTTTTACTGTGCAACCCGTTCTCACAAATTTAATAAGTCAATATTGACTTATTAAATATGTGCATAGGTGACATACTTAACATAATAGATACCCTTAAAAAGATTCATAGAAAACACCGGCCTTACCTAACCTACTTAGTATGTTAAGATAAGCATCTTATTGCTTCGTAATTACAATTATTACCTAACCTATAATAGGTACAGGTTAAGTAATAATTGTAATTAGGGTCCATAGAATTACCCAAATCGGCCCAAAACTACACAAATCGTCCTAGCATTACGTAAGTAATGAAGAAATATGGTATATTTACTTACTATAATGTTGGTGCTACACGTAGAACATGATCAAACCTATTTTTACTCTGAAATAATCTAATTTCATAACGAAATGAGACGTAAATATGTGAGAGGTGACGCCATAGGAAGTCGACGGTCCAAGCGACAATTGTGTGGAGCGACTTATCCAAGATATATGGTCGCCTGGAAAGTGTTTGCTGCCATCATCTTCTCTAGGGATATTTTAAAACAAAATTTTGGCAGTTACGGCTTCGGCGGGTAGGTAGTCGGTCAACATTCATATGTTATCTAATAAGGATAAGGACACCATCATTTCCCCTTCTTTTTTATTTTTGGTAAATTTACAAAAACCTATAAATCTTCCTAGTTGAAAAATATTTGTTTTTGTTTATCCCGACTGTGTGTCTGGGGTTAACCGAAACACTCACTATGGGTTGCTATTATTATACAAAATGTACACAGTTGTGAGTTTTTGTCTCGGTAATACCACAGTTCTCACTTATAAACTTTACACTTATTTGTATTTGGATGGCGCTTTTATTTTCAATTACAGTATTCGGCAGTGTTTGTTTCTAACCTAATGACGTAGTGGAAAAAGTGAAGGTAAAGAGTTTGTGAAAATATGGAAAGAATAGGAAAAATAGAGAGCGGCGAGCGGTTATCCTTAAATAAAATTATAATGACAGTCAACAAGTAGCCTAGAGTGTGGATGAGCAGTGGAGTGGGAGCCACCTGGAGGGACGATTGTAGCGACGAGTTCATACAACTTTTTAAAAACCACACCATGGTGATCACTCTTACTATCACTCACAAATCATTATCACCATAATCAATTGGCAGCAGCAGCACTAACATCACTACTCGTCACTATACAGTTCATCACTCCCTCCACTTATGCCTCCACACGCCGCCACTCGCTCCCCACCGATTCTACTTGGCAACTTGTCGAGTGTGTGCGCACACGCGGGTGGGCGAGTCCTACGAGTAGCACACGGGTCCCAGCTCGATTTTAAATGCTTGGTTGGGTTCACCAATATCCCGGACACCAATGTCCACGAATGGTAACCGCTGTGGTTTCTCTGTGCGGAACTCTATAATGGTGGAGGCCCAGGTGGGAAGTCTTGTCTGTGGGGAAAAATGGGAGTCAGGTTAGCTGCTGATAATGAGTGAGGTTGGTGTGTGTGTGGTTGACAAGAAACTGTGGATGAAAGGGATTGTCTGAATATAATTATTTTATTTGGGATTGTTTTAGCTTCAAACCTTTGTAGTTTCAGGTCAGTGGCAAAGAAGGGCATTTAATTTAGAAGAAAGGGGGGTAAATAAATTAAAGCTATTATTTTTTGTGAATTGCAAGTGTACGTATACCTATTTTTTAACATTAAACAATTATAAGCACATCAAAGTAAAATAATGGCCAAAAAGCATTTTATAAACCATTCAATGTTTACATTTCCAAGCTTTTATTCAAACATTTTCAAGGAGAGGAAAGGTGGCAAATGGCTGGCTGTTCATCCCTGGTGGGGCATGTTTGAATAAATAATTGTTTAATTATTTGGTTATCCTACACTAGTTTATGGGTTTGTTTGCACTGTATAATGTTTATGCAATTTGTGCAAATTTGTCTTGTTTAAGGTGACAATAATTTCCTGTTCTCAAAATCTAGTGCTCATGCTTATCTTACCATTTCCGAGCTGTCACCACTGACCACTTAGGGTAGGAAAGCTGCTAGTCACAAGGCATTACAGAAGAGACAGAGCTCTTGTCTCAGTTTTTCTCTGGAGCTAGTCTTCAGTACTGTTCCCCTAAAGGTTTTTATGGCCAAAGACAAACCCAGTGGCTATGGCCACACCTGATCAGGCAAGAAGGGCAACACACCAACACTAAAGAATATGATGTAGACTTGATTTCCACCTGACCTCATCAAGTAATGTCTTTTAAATGCAATAATGCTAGTAGACTTACCTTACATCCATCTTCTATAACTCTGTATTTAAACTTCCTATTCCCTCTGGCTTTAAGCTCAGTGTCCGAGACAGTCATGATCTGCAAGGCATTGCGAAGGTTCCTCCTCCTGGCATCGAATACGGCAACAGAGTTCTTGCAATGGTAGGTGAGCTGCTGGGTCGCCTCTGCTGACAACAGCTGCAGGAACTGCATCTGGTTGCTGTCTGCCTTGTATGTGAACTGCGGACACCCAGAGTTACATTTAACACCTTATGCTTTAATTTACATAATAATAAATTATATATACTGTATGTATGTACTGTGTATATTTATACACGGTATATATTTTATATATGTCTACAAAAAATAAATGTGGAAAATCTTGACAGTTTGAACAGCAACAGGATGGTGATGACGAGAGACTGTGTAGATCAGAATATCCAGAAGTTTTTCATTCAAGTGCAGAATTTTCTTATGTGGTTTTACAAGTGAATGAAATAACACATTTTTAATTGCATGAAATATTTAAACACTGACCATGAAATTCTAAGGTCCACACTGCATCTTGTGTAGAAATTAATATTGTTACCAGAACCTTTACTCAATTCTATAGGTTGTGAAGGACTCATTAAACCCCAATGTATATAATGTACATTATCCACCACTCAAAACATGGGTAGCATTGTCCACTGTTTCTACATTCATCTGTCAACAAGTACAGTACTGTACAGTACTGTAGTTCACTTTGGTTGAAATAAATATATTTGTTAAAAGTTCTGGTTACAAATTTAATATCACATTAAATGACATAAATTAATAAATTACTTAAACTATGCACTTTCAATCTTAAATTGTTTTAAGAATTTTGTTTAACTCTGAGATTAACTCGTGTGACTGATGTCAAGACATTACTAAATTAACTGTGAGATAAGGTACTAGACTAAACACCAGCAAAATATATAATTTAAAGTTATTAGGTGTCTTAAAATAATGATGTAGTATTGCCTGTGTGTATGTGGTTAAACCACTGACAAGCTTAGTTAATGCAAAGGATCACAAAGTTTTTCCAATCCCACTACCACCATCAATATCATCACAATTACTCCTACACCATCACACATCTTCCTACATCACTACCATCCCAAAATTCCATACTGTACTCGAAAATCCTATTTAGAATATCTGTCACTCATATCTGCCACCACAAGCTGCCCCCTCCCCTCTTTCCCAATCTTCACTACCTCCACATGCTGCCTTAACCAGATAGTAACTAAAAAGTGCTGATCCCACCTCATAACCTGGTTGAATGTCCTCTCCAAGCCAGACAATGCCCCGAGGCTGTCCGCGCCAAGTGAACTCTTGGGTGATCTCAGGCTGCGGCAGGACACATGTTGCCTTCTTCTCCATGTCACAGAATACCACGATGGCATCCTTCGTATCTCCCTCGTTGGGGTCCACCCAGTATTCCCCTAATGATGAGGATAAATTAAATAAGCCATTTTTAAACAGAGGACTAGAAAAATTATAAACTTTTTCCAGTTCACTGGAAAATAATTACATTAGAAGAATCAGCAATTGAATTTTGTTTAACATATTTCTTAAAAGATGGATTTTTCCTAATAAGAGCCATACCATTGGGAAGTTCCGGATGAGTGTAAGCCAGATCACGGCATGTCTTTGCTGGGGAGTCTTTTGTGCCTTCTGGTCTGAGGAACTTCTTGAAAGATGTCTTGAGTTGCTCATATGCCTTGGTTATGAGATCGCGACGCTCATCGTCCGTGATTTCTTTGCCAAAGAGACGTGCTGGCAGTTCGGAATCATCACCCTGAAGAGGATCTGGTCCCTTAGCCTGACCCTGCCCTAGGAGAGCTGCCAGTGCTGCTGCATCATAACCCATAGATTCACCAGGTGGACCAGGGGGACCAGAAGGACCAGGTGGGCCAGGAGGACCAAATTTACCTTCTTCTCCGCTAGGACCACGGGGACCAGGAGGACCCATAATACCTTGAGGACCAATTCCTCCATCACGGCCAGGTGGGCCCTTAGGACCAGGCTCACCAGATGGACCGGGTGGACCAGCAACACCAGGTACACCTTTGTCACCCGAGGGACCTTGAGGCCCAGGAAGACCTTGAAGACCAATGAGACCTCTGTGTCCCTTGGCACCCTTAGGACCTGCTGCTCCAGTTTCTCCAGTTTCTCCTTGTGTTCCTGGTGCACCAGACTTTCCTCTTGGACCTGGACTGCCCTCAACACCTTGTGGTCCAACTTCTCCGCGGTCTCCACGCTCTCCAGTTGGGCCAATGGGTCCAGCAGGCCCAGGGGGACCCTGACATGGTAAAAGACAAATAATAGCTATTGACATGCATTTGGTTTTGGTTATGAAAGAGATATACAGAAAGAAAGACCATACATTAAAGTCATGGTATCTGTAAAGAGATCAAGAGTACTCACAGGTAAACCAGTGGGTCCAGGGCCGCCCTGTTGTCCTGGTGAACCTGGTGGGCCCTTGTCTCCTGTACGACCAGAAATACCTGGAGGCCCAGGTTTGCCGTCAGCACCAGGGGCACCATTGTCACCTGTGGGACCAATAGGGCCGACAGACCCAGGCAACCCAGGAGAACCAATGGGACCTTCATCACCACGTTTGCCTTCTGGACCTTGTTCTCCCTGAGGAGATGTAAAAAAAGAATTATAACCAGTTGCTAAAATATATAATTTATTCAATAAAATAGCCTATATGATATGAATACTTTTGTCAAATGTTCTTGCAAATGTTAATACAGTATTACAAAATAATCATTACTCACGCGTTCCCCATTTTTCCCTCGAAGTCCAGGAGGACCAGGTGGACCAGGAAGACCAGGCAATCCACGTTCTCCTGATGGTCCAACAGGACCAGGCTGACCAACGGCTCCAGAGCGACCTTCAGGACCAGCTTCACCCTTAGGTCCCTCAGCTCCAGGGGCACCGGGCTGGCCAGTTGGTCCTGGCAGACCAGGTCGGCCAGTGTCACCAGGGGTTCCCTTGATTCCAGGGTTACCACTTGAACCTGGAGGTCCTTGATCTCCTGGGGTACCCTGTGTGAGTAAATAAGATGTAAGTTTCATCTTATCAAGAGCATGATATGAACTTAACATGGGCAACAAAAGGAAGGCATGATCTGTAAACAGAATGTAGAGATATTACTCACAGGCGTGCCAGCATTGCCAGGTCGTCCAGGGGGACCCATTAGACCAGGCTCTCCTCGTTGTCCTAGTTCACCTCGCTGTCCCTTTGCACCCGTCAGTCCAGCTAGACCCTGAGGTCCAGTTTCACCAGGCTGTCCTACCAAGCCAGGGTTACCTTGAGTGCCCTTCTGACCAGGTAGACCACGTTGTCCTTTGGGACCTGAAGTTCCAGGTGGCCCAAGAGGTCCTGGGAAACCCTGAAGACCCTGTTCACCCTGGGGACCTCGATCTCCAGTCATGCCGTTGGCACCAGCTTCACCAGGAGGACCTGGTGGACCTGGATCTCCCTTCTCTGCAGGTTCTCCTGGAGGCCCAATTGGACCCATTATACCCTGAGGACCTTGATCTCCTTGACGACCTGGTGGGCCCTCGGGTCCAACACGTCCTAATGATCCACGTTCACCTTTCTCTCCTGGAAGACCAGGAGGCCCTCGACCACCAGGAAGACCCTGTGTACCACAGCTAGTTAGCACAAATAATATCTGGGTGGCATAACACATTATATCATGATTATTATCAGCTACTTGAAAAGGACATGAAAATAACATAGTTACAAATACTTACAACGAGACCAGAGGGACCAGAATGACCTTTTTGTCCTGGTGGACCAGCAGGACCTGCAGGTCCATCAGGACCACTTTGGCCACTCTCTCCACGTTTGCCGGCTTCACCTGGAGGACCTTGAGCACCTCGTTCTCCGGGAAAGCCTCGTTGACCACGAAGACCAGCACCACCAGGCAGACCCCGAGGACCCTGCAGACCAGCCTCTCCGTCCTTTCCATTAGCACCAGAAATTCCAGGAGCACCAGGAAGACCTTGGAAGCCACGAGCACCTGGAGAACCAGGGGGACCTCGCTCGCCAGGAGAACCTGTTGGCCCTGCCACGCCTGGGGGCCCCTGAGAACCATCCTTTCCTGGGTCACCTCTGGGGCCTGTTGCACCAATCTCACCAGGATTGCCGTCTTTGCCAGGCTCACCCTATGGGAGACAAATCATTTGGTTTGACAGATTCACACACATTAGCTCTAAGAATAAAGGCTGGGGGTATGAAATGTAGTAAATGTTGTTTGATAAGAAGTGCAGGTGTTCATAAATTAATTTGATAAATTTATTGGTGAATCATTAGACTTTTCTTCTTGCAGGTATTGAACAAGATTATATAAAAACATTTGTGAAGATAAGCACAAAATTAGTAGAAAAGAAGGTAGATCACAATGTACCCAGATGAGCATTGTGGAGATCAATCACAAGATACCCAGGTTTAGTAAAAATAAATGCCATGTACTCTTTTTTTTTTTGTTATTGTATGTAAAACAAATATGATCTTACGATTGGTCCAAGTGGACCAGGAGGTCCCATAGGTCCGGGAAGACCCTGAATTCCTTGAGGTCCTTGGTCACCAGGTTTGCCATCAGCTCCAGGTGGACCTCGGTCTCCAGGCCGACCAGTTTTGCCAGAGGGACCAGATAGACCAGTGGGCCCTCGCAGGCCTTGGCGACCTGGTAGGCCTGGAGGACCAGGGTTGCCTTCACGACCTTTCTGACCATTGGTGCCAGTGGGGCCTGGGTCACCACTCTGACCTTTAAAGACAGAAATTCACCCATAAAATTACATGATGTATAACTTACAAATGAATGTGGGATAACTATAGATCATCTGCTGAATATCTCTTTAAGAACCTGCAACAAGTGTGCTATACAAATGGACCAATATTCACTAATGTAGACGACCTTAGACTCACCCTTAGGGCCTGGAGGTCCATCAGCACCTGGGAGACCACGGCCTCCTGTTGGTCCACGTTCGCCCTGAGGGCCCACTCCTCCTGGAGGACCTCGAATACCTCTCTTGCCGCGTTTACCTGAAGATCCAGGAGCACCTGGCAGCCCACGAGGGCCAGGGGTTCCTCCTTCTCCCTTCATTCCTCCTTCTCCTTTGAAGCCTCGTTCTCCAGCCAAACCCTGTAATTGATAGAACATTAATACATTACTCATTCATCTCTTAAGCTGTTCTAACACTGAAGTAATTGAATAACTCATGGGGTAGTTTGTTTTTTTGCATTATTTAACTTGACCAAGAATGCATTCAGTGTACTTACCCTCTCACCCTTGTTGCCAGGCATGCCAGGGCTGCCAGGTAGACCTGGGGGCCCACGAGCACCTGGGAATCCTGGAGGGCCAGAATCTCCCTGTGCACCAGGAGCGCCCTTCTCTCCAGGCATGCCATCCTTGCCAGGTCCTCCCTGGGGGCCAGGCTCTCCAGGAGTACCGGGCTTTCCTGCCTCACCTACATAAACACAGTTACACATTGTTATTATCAGCAAAATAAAATAGAAAATGATGCATGTGTCAGTATATTAACAGATTAGTGAGTAAAATTGACCTACCTCTTGGGCCCTGGAGACCTTGAGAACCCTTAGATCCCTGTACACCTTGGTCTCCCTTAGCTCCTGCACTGCCAGGGAAGCCAGGGGGGCCAGACTTGCCAGGTGGACCTGGAGGGCCAGGAGGACCTCCAATGCCATCAATACCTCTCAAGCCAGGAGGACCTGGTGGACCCTCCCTACCTCGCTCACCACGGGGACCAGCCGAGCCCTAGACCATTCACCAAAATTTTAAAAACTCTCACTGAAGACCAAAATAAACAACAATTTCCATCCCATAGGGTATATCTTATGATATTATATACAGGAAAACAAAAATATATATACAAGCTTTAATTTTTATCTTTAATGCTGCATTCTGTCTGGAAGGGGTTATCAATATACAGTATATACACTCTTGCTCTCATTTACAATTGATAGAGTGCAAAACTTTAAAGAATTTCACATATCAGCAAATGCAAAAGTGAAAATATAATTTTTTTTTTTTTAAAGTATATCTTTAGAAATTTGATAATGTAAATAACTCACCATAGGACCAACGGGTCCAGGTGGACCCCCAGGACCTGCAGCACCCTTGTCACCCATCTGACCTTGCTCTCCCTTAGCTCCGTCCAGACCAGAAAAGCCACGGTGTCCCTTCACGCCAGGTAGACCTGGCATACCAGGTAGACCGCGGGGACCAGGAGGTCCCACTGAACCTGGGGGACCTGATGCTCCATCTTCTCCATTCTCACCCTACAGGGACACCAACAGGTCAACCTCATAACACAAAATTTATTTTTACAATTTTTATTTATTTTAGAATTTAAGAAAAAACCAGCATTGAATGTAATGAAACGCCATTTTCTGGGCGTTCCCGGAGGCTCCCCAGAGCTTGAACCTGGCACCTCGCGTGTTCAAGCTCCGGGGAGCCTATGGGGCTCCCCCCAGAAAATCTGCCTGAAAACATCCATTACTGAAAAAGCATGAAGAATTTATCTACAAAAAATGATAGGGAATTGTTCATTATCATTGCAATCTCTGGCGGTACTGTGGTAACACACTCGCCAGGCACTGGCTGCTTCATGAGCGATGTCTCTAGGTTCGAGTCCTGGCCAATGAGGATTGTCTGGGCGTCAATCCTTAACTATTCACCCATCAATAATTGGTTATCTGGTTGTTATTCTGATTGGCAAGTCATGTTTCAGGGGAAAAATAGTGGGCAAAGCTTACCATAAGATATGGAATGGGAAAGCTATCGGCCTGCTAACAGGATTCAGAAGTCGTCTGTTTCTGCACCCACCTGTGTTAATTTTTTTTAATATATAACCAATACATAAAAAATGGACTTACATCTTTTCCTGGGATTCCTGGCATTCCTCGAGGACCTGGAGGGCCTGCTGAACCAATAGGGCCTGTGTCACCAGGCTCACCTCGTGTCCCCTGGAAACCTTGAGGGCCAGAGGGACCTGGTGATCCTGTGAAAGAAAGGAGAGGACACACTTAATACACACACTCCATCCAGTCAGTCATACAGGAGCTAGCTTCCACATTCGGTCCATGGAAACAGTCGACAGAAACTTTAATATTTTATCGAAAAAATGTTTTATTGTACACAAATATCCTAAAAAAAGTAATAAATGAATGACTTTATTTAGTTTTATTACGCAATGTGAAGGGTATGATGTGCACCTACCTGGGGAGCCCCTAGGGCCGACAGGCCCCACTTGAGCTTGCAGATAACTGAATGGGTCTGGCTGAATGGGTCCTTTTTCTCCGCCTTGGGACTGAGAAAGCTGCGTCAACCATGGCGCAATCTGTCCAAGGATAACAAAAATTTGTAACAATATTACTGTAAATTGAAATACAGTACAAGTTCGAGTCACAATAGTGTACAGGATTATAATAGCTACTCGAGCACATAGGAAACATAACAGCCACTTGAGCTTATATAATCAAGTAAGTTCTACACAACATAAATGCTACAATTCCCCGAGACGTCTTCACTGAGCTGCATCACATTATAGTTGGTATGATGCAACGTATAAAACACAACTTATATTATTATGGAATATACTTGTGGATTCCATATTCTTTTGCAAGAGTAAGACAGTTTGAAAATGAGCTTATTACGCTTGAAAGAAATAATCAGTAAAGGTTCTTAGTAGCATTACCAACAAATATCAGAAAAACTGAAATGAAATGAGTATTATGTGCAAGATCTGTATCCATTGTTCTATATAGCTTTATGGACTTAGTGCTTTTACATAATTACATAATTATCCGTTTTCTTTTTAACGGAATCGGCTTGGTGCCTTCTTTTGATAGTTATTTTTAACAGAAGTCACAGCCACTGCTAAGAACATTAACCTAGTCAGTTCAACCTCTTCTAAAATCATAAAATTCCATTGGGGCAACTTATCCTTGGCATGAAGACCACCCATCGACTAAGATTCATCCTGTATTTACGAGTCCACTTACGAAGCCTGTACATCTTTATTCAGTCATGGTGGCAGCTTGGTTTGTATTTATTAAACAGTTTACGAGCACCGAATGATGTGAGGTCATTCTCGACTAAAGATTATTATTATTAAAGACAGCCTCGAAGTGCTTCGGAGTACGTAAACTACAAACTTAGCTGCCTGAATTGAGAAAAAGATGCACAGGATTTGTAAATCAGACACATGCTTGCTGAATTCACAGCCATCATATTATAACAAATCATCGGAAGGTCTGACACTTACATCTGGCATGGGTCCTGGTGGTCCAGGCTGACCTGGAATTCCGGGGTCGCCTGGGGTTCCCGTGGGACCCCGGTCTCCTGGAGGCCCAGAGCCGCCCTCCGCGCCGGTGGTGGAAGCGCCGTAGCCGGTATCAGGAGGTGTCTGTAGGAGTGAGGGGCAGCAGTGTTAGAGGAGGTGGGTGCTAATATTGCCGTCTATAAATTCATGTAAATATAAAGAGGTGAACGAGAAAGATGGAGAGGCTGGTGGAAAGAACTAGTACCAATATGAGGAGCTGATGGGGTGAACTTATACCAAGATGGCGGAGCTAGTGGAGGGAACTAATACCAATATGGAGGATCTGGTGGAGGGAACTAGTAACAAGATGGAGGAGCTGGTGGAGGGAACCAGTACCAAGATGGAGGGGACTGAGTTTTCCGAGGCTTCAGATATGAAAATATCTTAATAAATTAGAACCCGACATCGAGGGTATCTATCATTTATTTTAATTGAGAAACAATTAACTTTGGAATATAGTGCATATTAAATTCAGAAGTGTATTATATATTCTATAAAAGAAATAACTATATAATTAATTATGTACAAACATGGATAAAGAGAAACTTACTGGTCCGACAATTTCCGGAGGAGGTTCTTCTGCAAGAGAAAACGTACAGTTGACTATTAGTGTTAGGTGTATCTATAAAAACGAACTGCATACTTTTTTATCTTATAATAGTTTATCTGTTATGTAAGTGCGAGTAAATAATTAAATTATATGCATTCTAACTGTATTACCACATTCCTTACATCAACAAAGCCTATTCCCCGTCAGAGCAGGAATATGTGAAACAATTATGTTAAACATTTTACATATTACTATAGCAAAAAAAAGCCTTCTAGGTGAAAATACATTTTATTTGAATAGGGCAGAAAGTTAGCCAGAAATATTACTGTGCCCAAAATATGCAACATTATGGCAGGTTTTACTAGCATTATCTAATGCTTGGAATTATTTCATTAACAAAGAGCAAAACACAATAGAGAACAATATTCAGAACATATTGTTCAGAACAGAACAGTTTCATGACTAAATAAACCTTCTGGCTAGATGTGTAAGGTCCCGGTAGTACAGTCGGGTTTCTTCTAGACTCATAATCGTAAATTCCGGGTTCGAATCCCGGGCGGGACGGAAATTGTTGGGCGCGTTTCCTATTACCTAATGACCTTCGCCTAGCAGTAAGTAGGTACCCAAGAGTCAGCTCCTTGTGAGGCTGCATCGTAGGGAGGGTCAGTGGTTCCATCTTGGGGAGACTTCGATATAAGCCTAACATGTATATACACACTGGTTGCCTGTCACCCGGCAAAATTAATTATACATATTTATAAACCAACTGGTAAGATAAACCTCTTGCTAGATGATGAAAATTATTTTCCTCAGGAGTAGCGCTGACTCCAGAGTCTAGACACTAATTTAGAATCCAGTCTGATGAAACTTAAGCAGGTGGCCACATTCTCTTAGTTTCATTGTGTTTTAAACTTTATTATTTCGTTTTTGAGAGGAATGTATGACAAAAAACTGGGCAATATAAACCTGACGCTCCTGTCATCCATCTGTCTCAAATTTGAATGAAAATTCTAAAGAACAGAATACAAAGAGCAATATGGCTCCAAGCTGACGTTGCTACGAAGGGCCGTGTGATTGTTATTGAGAGTAACAAAGGCCAACATCAATGATTCTAGCTCGAATCTTCTTTATATTTCTTATGTTCTTCACCTGGAGATGAAGTTGAAAATTAACTCTCCAAAGTTAATCTTATCATTTAATTCGGCCTGACGCGTGTCGCTGAGGAACATGTTACGCTGAACATCTCTTCAATAAATTCAGAGGCTAAGTGAATACAAATGATTGTTCAAATCCACAAGGGCCGTGACGAGGATTCGAACCTGCATCCGGAAGCATCCCAGTCACTACCTTAATCGACTGAGCTACGGCAGGGTTTAAAAGAGTTGAAACCGAAGTTCTACTGAACTTACTGGATCCCGTAGCCTCTCCGAGGCACAAACCAAGATTTTACACAACTCTCCCCTGCACCTGAGCTATGTCAATAGGCCGTTCTCCCTCTTCGCCCTTACATCATTACACACAGAGACTCTGTATCAAATGATTGTTACTGATGAAGATTAAGCCACCAAAGAGATGGCACGGGCATGAATAGCCCGTAAGAATACAAATGATCAGGTATAACATTATGGAGGATGAGGTGAAATGAGGCGTTAACCAGTCGAGGGAACTGGGGAATCAAGCTCTGCATTCTGATTGGTCAGTTAGAGCAGAAGGTGGTGTTAGATGACAGTCCTGTCTGGGGTCTTGAGGATGATAGGACGAACCTAAGGGCAAGCTGGCTGTTGATATTTGGTTAAATGTTTGACACATAGTGCTTTGGAGAGTTAATTTTCAACGACCTTCCCAAGAAAAACATAGAAAGTATAGAGAAGACCTGCCCTAGAATAACTGAACTAACCCTTCCATTAATTTGAAGTTAACACGTCTACAAAAGACTGCTTCCAAAACACACTATTATATATGCGCTACAACTATGGCTAAAATAATCACAAACGTACAACTATTAAAACTAGGTTTTCCTGCACTTAATAAAAATTACAGCCTTCACAGCCTGGAAAGAACATGAAGAGGGTCAGAGGTGTGGCATGAAGGGGGTCAGAGGTGTGGCATGAAGAGGGTCAGAGATGTGACATGAAGAGGGTCAGAGGTGTGACATGAAGGGGGTCATGAACAAGAAGAGACAGAGAGGGGAGAACACAGGAAGAGACATGAAGGGGGGGGGGGACACACAAGTGGACAGTGAAGGGAACAACAACAAAATCTTCACAGTCCTTGCCAGTGGACGTGTTAATAGCTGGCAGAATACTCAATAGGGGTTAGTAAGGTATAATGTAGGATGAGAGAAGGAATGGATGTTATATGAGGAAAGGTCGTGGTGTTTTATGCGAGGACGCGCGCGCGCGTGTGTGTGTGCGTGTGCGTGTGTGTACACCTCGCTGCACTGATGTTGTCATACCTTCCCTGTCACGTCCAACCTGTCCTCTGCGCTCCCCCTTCCGACGCCTACCTGGTCTTCTCACTCTTGTAGCCTCCCCTTCATAAGCAACTGTCGGAGGTGGCGGTGGGGGTGGGGTGGTGGTGGTTGTGGTTGTGGTAGTAGTAGGTGGAGGAGTGGTTGTGGTTGTGGTTGTGGTGGTAGTGGTGCTGGTGGTGGTAGTGGTGGGAGGTTCAGTGTAATCATAAGGATCATAAGAGTCGTAGGGGGCCTCTGTTGTGTATGGGTCATAGGGACCATATGGGTCGTAGGGTGGGGCCTCTGTGGCAGCATATGGGTCATATGGAGCAGCCGGAGGGGCTTCAGTGGTCACTGGACCACGTTCACGGTCAGTGGGATATGGCTCTTCTTCATAATTGTAATCTTCATAGGGGGGATATTCTTCGTAATCTTCGTAATTTTCTGGAACAAAAAAATGTTGGAGGAGCAGTGAGCGTGTGAGTAAGAGAGGAGGGGGCGGCGAGCGGGCCGGACCTACCTGGGCACACAGGACAGCACTGCCCCAGGGGTATATACTGTTCTTCGCACACAATCTCGGGACACAGGACGCCGGCGCAATTCTCATCGCAGGGCGTATGTTCGCAAGTGGTTTCGCCGCCAACGCAGGTACAACGGGAGCAGTCATCGGGAGAGAAGGATTCCCCATCGGCGTATTTCTGCCCCTCAAACTCGCATTCCGTGCTTGCCTCCGGCACTTGACCAACTAAGCCATTATAATCTTCATACTCTTCATATTCTTCTGCTGCAAAGAGAAAAGGGAACGTTGCGTAGGAGAATGGGTCAAGCATCGCCAAAGATCAGACAGTCTCTCCTACATTGCACTCCATGCCTCAATGGAGCAATGATTATTTCTAGAAAATTTGGATGATTGATATCAACCATGCATATTATCGAATACTACTTCTAATTAATAGAAAAGACATGCTATTGTTCTGTGTCTGTGTATAAGCTTGACTCTCCATACAACTTTCCCTTTTACAACTTTGCTAAAGACGCTGGACTGGGCAGACCTTGTGGTCCACGAGACTGTGCGCGTTTCCCCTGTACTTAGTGGCGGTCTCTGTAATACCGTTTTCTGTAGTATTCTTGAGGACGAGTGCTGTCCTGCGCACGCAATACAATAGAGGTTTAGGCCGTGCCGCTCCCTCAAGAAAATTACATTCTTAGAATATAATATCCCTTCTCTAATGATATGGAGCATTATATTTATATTTATTGCAATAAAGAGACAAATAAATAAAGAAATTAAACCGTATCATGGATGGAGAAGCTTTAATTTTTGGAAATTTGATAGTTATTTGTTGGGCCTGATATAGGGTGGATGCGGCATGCAAGGTGTTGAGAAGTTGTACGTGGAAACAGAAACAAAGCAAACGTTCATTATCTTAAGCTTATTTGCGAAGAAGGTTACAAAAGCCATATTATACCATGCAAGTGACGAGCAAAGTCTACGCTGATTGGCATCTTACACAATCTAAAGGAAGGAATATCCCTTTTAAGGGTTCAGGCTCTAGGACATTATCAATAAACAAGAATTACATGCTAGATTTGTAATTTATAAAATAGTTATTTAACAATAACTATTATATTGTTATTCATGCACAAAACAATTTATTTAAACTATACATGATAGCCACCATTATATAACAGTAGACAATACAAGTGTAACATATTACAAATTTGAATACTTACTGAAGTCAAATATTTAACAATTAAAAATATTGTGTGTACTCACCTAGTTGTGCTTGTGGGGGTTGAGCTCTGGCTCTTTGGTCCCGCTTGTGTGTGTGTGTGTGTGTGTGTGTGTGTGTGTGTGTGTGTGTGTGTGTGTGTGTGTGTGTGTGTGCGCGCGCGCGCTTGTATGCGAGTTAAATATAGTGTAGAATAATTGCACAAATTGAGAATTATGGCATGAAAGAAGGTTGTGTCTGAGATGTGTTACTCTTGAGTGGAAGATAAATGTTCTCCTTGTGAATGTTGCAGTGTTGAAATTACATTAAAACATATTATGTTTTATAGTAAATTTCAACAAACATTAGTGTTTGCAGAATTTATAAAATAGTTATAAATGTTTGCAAGTGTAAGCCAACTTAAAATACACGAGAAAAATTGTACTTTTGTGACGGATTACGATTGTGAAGCAGTCATATGTACTACATGGCCGGTGACTAACACAGTCAGATGTGTAATATATCGAACCCGCACTGAAGTCAGGTATATCACTAGTATCGATACATTCAATAGTCAGATTTAAAAAAATTCAAGAAAATAAGACAGGTGTATAATGAAGTGAGATATTAAACGGTTCAGTGTTGTGTTGCAATATAGTCAACGTAGCGACCACGACGTGTATGGACAACACCGACTCTCCTGGGAATATTATTGTCCATCTTTTGTCCTATTTAATAATATATGTAAATGTGCACAGAAGCATTTAGACATATTTCTTTACATCCGAATCCTGTGTTCACGGAACAGTAAACACCCGGGCGTTACACAACTGTTGTGGGTTGTATCCTGGAAAGAGTTAGGTAGGGAAGATAACAGGCTAACTGTACCCGACTATGGAAAACAATACATGCTATATTAAGGACTAAGATAGGTTTAGGGTCCCGGTAGTACAGTCGGGTTCGTTCTCGACTCGCAATCTAAAATTGTGCGTTTCCTAGTATCACTTAATGGCCTGTTCACCTAGCAGTAAATAGGTACCCAGGAGTTAGTCAGCTTCTTGTAGGATTCCATCCTGGGGAGGGTCGGTAGTTCGACCTCTGAGGGAAGACTCAATACAAGCCTATTATATATATATATATATATATTATATATATATATTATATATATATATATTTATAATTATATATTATATATATAATGTGTATGTGTGTGTGTACTGTGTACTGTGTACTCGTATAGTATGCCTGTGTATATACGCTATGTGAGTAATCAATTAGGATCTGAATGCGCGCGCCTGAACATTCCGACAAACAAGCATAAACGTATGGAATCACAGACATCTTATAATCTGGTTGTGGAGAGCGTGGCGGCTGACTAGTAACTTATTAAAAGTGGCCTGTGAGGCTAAGCAGATCAGTTCTTGGGAAGGGGAGGGGGTGCAGGCGTGTTTGGGCAGCCCGTCCTAAGGTTTCCCAACGTCAAGAAACTGTCGTACTAAAGTCCCCTATTCTAACATATCAGAGGACCCAAAACAGAAAACGGGGCAGTGTCAGTTTCGCGAGCCGCTACTATTTTCTTGTAAAACAAATTTTGGCCTTTATTATTTATACAAAAGTTTTTACATTCTGTACAGCCACTAGCACGCATAGGGTTTCGGGCAAACCCTTAATCCTAATTTTCACACACTCACACATATCCCTGCGAAACAGCCCGTAGCAGCTGTCTAACTATTTACTCATAGGTGAACAGCGGCATCAGGGTAAAAGAAACTGCCTATTTGTTTCCGACTCCGCCGGGAATCGAACCCCGAGTGATGTCCACTCAGCCGTCAGCCCTTAGGTACAGCATACGGCAATGTGCGATGCTTTGTTTCGAGGACGAGTTGCAATGGTGCGGAGTTGCTGGTTTTCAAGAGTGTGGCAGGGGATATAAGGAGGAGTCGAGAGCGACAGATGTTAATCTCAGACTAATAACACTACAAACGAGACACGACAGGAATGATCAAGAGACCTTTTAAATACTGGACAAATTTGAAAAAAATAATCCGGACCACTTCGTTTTAAGACCCAATGTGACTCATACAACGGGCAACAGCTTCAAGCTCAACAAGTCATTAATGTAGGACAGAAAGCAGATGATTATTCACTTACAGGATAATAAACCTATGGAATCCCGTACTCATCGAAGCTGCAAATGTCAAAACAATACTTCAAGAAGAATGGAGGGATCTTTGAGAAGTCGCCGGATTCCTAACCCCGTCGAAGCCTATAGAGATGCTAGCCCTCAGGTAAATTCATGTTGGGGACGTTGGGGTATGGCCAGTACGGATGCAGGAGGGGGAGCACAAATGGTTGATGGTGAGAAGAGTGTAAGGACTCCCGGATCTAAGGGGTGAAGTGTTTGCGATAAGAAATAGTGACGCATTATTGCATTAGGCTACAGCCGGTGCATGCGCCATTACCACCACCCAGGACCACGGACGAGCTGCTTATCGCCTCAAGTTAAGAGTTATACCCATATATGTATGTGTGTATATATATATTATTATATGGCAATGAGGGGATGAGGGGGATATATAAAACTACGAATTTTAAATGTAGATTGTCTTCGCAATATAACTTGCACTCATAGATAATCTATGGCATTAGGATATTAGTATCCCCCTTTTAAAGGCTTCAATGCTGCCTTCTTAATCGCCTGCAATAAGCACTCAAATTAAAATATGGCACCTTCCCTGCAAGCTAGTATGGGCTGCATATATTCTGAACTATGTCACTTAAAATATAAGCAGCATTTTACGTTAATAGTTATGAGTTGCATATAGTTATGTAGAACATCAAAATATAAATTATATATAATTCAGTATTCTTCCCTTTTATGTTTCTCTATTGATAACATATGAATTTTGGCACTGGTCATAATTAGGACATTTACATATCAAATATTTATTTTATAAACAATTGTGAAAAATTAAGTTGAATTCTAAAAGCAATCTGAAGTCATTTTTAGATATATTCCTCCACTTAAACTTTTTAAAACTGAAGCTGCCAAAATTTAAGGGAAAGCCTTCTGAATCGTGCATTATAAACAAAAACAAATTTAAAATCCATTCCTCGTAAGAACAATTCAACAGAACTTTTAATTTGTTCATTTTATTGCAAAATAATTTTCAGCGATAATATATGCGGGTCCCTTGCATGTGACGTCACACGACCATGTGTGTTTTGTTTATAAGTTACGGAGGGTGGCCAGCGAGGCAGCCTTCGGGTACATACAGTCTACAGTCTCTTCCCAATGATGAACTGTACCAATGGTCCTAGCGCTCATGATACTTGCAAAAGACCAAAACAATTACCCAACACGACATCTAGTTAATGCCGGTAAGCAATGCCCTACAGAAACAAAACACAAGGCTAAAATATCTACTTATTTTACATTACGACCGCCAGACATGTATGTCGTGATGAAACATGGTTACTTGTACACACCCACTGATGCACATGTGCCAGGAACCAGACTCGTCATGTTGAGCACCGAGGCGCAGCATGACCGGTTATATTAGCCAAGGAAGCAACCAGCCATAACAATCATTGAATGATTGCGTGTTAATTAGCATCACTATCTGGGTCTGACCATCCAGCCACCAAATGTGTTGTCACAAATAAGATTATTTATAATTTGTCAAGCGAAAATGTATTAAGACGAAAGCGCTCGATAACCCAGTATAGATG